CAGAGCTAGTGTTAAATTTTAAAAGTTCTGTGGGAGTGCATTGTCTTCCAGTACATGTTTATGCATTTTAAAAAACATAATGTATTTTTTAGAAATAATTTTTGTATACTGGATTTTATATGGATTTTTTGTTTTCAGTAATCACAGTATTAAGTTTTTTAAGGGAAATACAAGTTTTGAATGAGCAGTTGTCCTTAGATTCAATTGTTCTTGGAGTTTTTAGTTTTGTTGGTTTATGTTTGTCAATAACTTGAATCTTTGTGTAAACTATTGTTTAAAGAAAGAGAGAGAGAGAAAAAAAAGAATCAATAATCAGAACTGACTTGTAAAAATACTTCTTCTCCAGACGGCATGTGATCGCCTGTACAATGTGCTTCTGTTCCCCGAGGGGGGATGGCTGGTTGACTCAGGCTTAGAGGACCAGGATGTCGACACCTCGGCTAAAGATACCAGCAGCAGCAGGGAGTTGAGACTTGACAATCAAGAACCAGATCGGGCCCAGCAGATGTCTGTGTTACGCTCAATCTACATCCCACAGGTAGGCTAATAGAAGTAGTGTTTGTTATTCTTAAGTGGTAGGGATCTAGCTGGCTAAGCATTTTCCTTAAGTTGTATGACTTGATTATTTGTTGTGTGACCTTGATTACTTCATTTTGGTTTGTTTAAGTTTCTTGGATATGTTAGGTATGTGTAATGTATTGTAAAATGTGTAAGTTGCATGTGCATTTTGATATTATATAATATTAAATATTATATTATTTACAATAGCCCATGTAATTCATATTAAAAGGAATACTTTGTTTTAAACAATGCTTATCTGGTGCTTTTCCAGGTAACTTCCCTGCTGCAAAACATTCTACACTCAACAGAAAACTATAAAGACTCAGTTAGACTGGCAGACATCATTGCATCAGAGCAACATCAGCTGTACAAGGTATGAGCAGCACTAATTTTATTGACCACTGGATGATGATATTGTTACTATTATTATTATTATTATTATTATTATTAAATTATTGTTACTACTAATATTACCATTATTATCACCATTATCAACAATACTATTATCATTAATTTTGAACATTCACTGGTATTATTGGCCTTAGTTTTATGATTTTCAATACATATAAATTTATGACTAAACCTGTAACCATCACATTTGATTGATATTGGTGAGTACACAACTCTTCTTTACCTTTCATTTAACTAGATGGGAACTGTTAATAATAGCCATCTCCCTCTCTACCAGGCCTTTGGATCATGTGAACTGCAGCGGTTCTTGATAAAGCTTCAGGAGACATCAAGGGAATTGCTAGACCGCAACTGCGATGCCCTCGGGTACCCACTCCAGTAACCAGTGTTCAAAGGGGAGAATGTATGATACACCAGTGCACACTTCGACTGTATAAACTGTGAAATCTTTCTCAAAGACAGAAGGGGAAATATTTTGATATGATTTAGATTGAAAATTCTAGATGACTGTTGATTATGCTTGAAGGGCATGGGCTCAACAGGTTGAAATTGTTAGGTTTTGCTAGTTTGATATAGTACTGCAGGAATAAGAGGGTCTTCAGTCAAGCTGAGAAAGGTAGAAAATCAGAAGGGAATATTTATTTTGTTTTAAATCATTGGGACTGAAAATGTCAAATATGTAGTAAAAATATGTTGAGAAATTTTATTACTTAATGAAAGTTGAGGAAAATGACAAATGTTAAAGATGTTTTCAGACATTGAAAGTCTTGTGTGATTACTACAGATGGTCCTCACCTATGTAGTATGTTTACCTGTTTTTATGTACATGTTCTATGTGTTAAGTTGTGATACGTTAAAATAAGTAGTGTTTTAAATAAAGTACATTATTTGAATTTTATGCCTATTTATATCCAAAGCACCTCTTGAAACATAAATATATATTATAAAGATGCATATTCTGTATCATCAGGAGCATAAATAGCTACACTCCCTCACATGTGTATGCATTCATACACACAAATGTGCACACACAGGCACATGCACACACTAACACTCACAAACTCACTCCTGCATTCATTCAAGAGCAAGAATTACAGGGAGAGTTCTTGCAGAAGGGGAAAGACAACACAATATGTCTAGTGTGGCAGGAAGAGATGAATTAAGAGGTAAAGCAATGGACATGCATACATACTTGTGTGTGCATGGGTGTGTGAATATATACATATGACAAAACACTGTTTAAGATCACACTCACTCTTATTCTCATACGCACACACAAGGGACTCAAAGCCGCATTTGTGTCCCTTGAGGAGGTTTCTGTATTTCTGGTTAGAGAGACAAAGGTAATCTGGAAATTTCATGTCGAAATTTCATGTCACCACCACTGGTGACATAATGAATTGAATTAAATATAGAAGAGAAGAAATTTAATCTACTTTGGCATAGCCTCTCTTCTTTATCAACATAAAAAAGGAAGTGAAGAAAACGTCTCTAGTAGCAAGCACTGAAAAATCTACTGAATAAATGACCATTGTATTACAAGTTTAGATTGATTACTTTCCATATTGGTATATGTGATTAATGTGTGAGTCCTGTGAGGGGTGGTAGCGAGCAGGGAAAACGAAAACAATGAAGGAAAGGAGTACGAAGGATATAGCTGGTTTTATCATCATGGAATCGCACTCAAACAAATTGAATTAAATATAGAAGAGAAGAAATTTAATCTACTTTGGCATAGCCTCTCATCTTTGTCAACATAAAAAAGGAAGTGAAGAAAACGTCTCTAGTAGCAAGCACTGAAAAATCTACTGCATAAATGACCATGGTTTTACGATTTTAGATTGATTACTTTCCACATTGGTATATGTGATTAATATGTGAGTAACGTGAGGGGTGGTAGCGAGCAGGTAAAACGAAAACAATGGAGGAAAGGAGTACGAAGGATATAGCTGGTTTTATCATCATGGAATCGCACACAAAACAAACCTCTTCAAAGCATTGAGGTATCGAGGGATTCCTCACATTCTCAGCTACCAAGCCCCGCATCCATGGCCCCGATGGCAGGAGTGGACATGGAAGATATATGGGAAACTGGGTTAAATTACGAATATACACCAAAATAAGACTATTATATTATTAATACACACACACCAAGTTACCATAATGTCTAATGCATGGGGCTGTTCCCGTGCCGATCCCACTGGGGGCTGCCATCCCTCAACCCCAGCCCAGTGCTTACCGACACGTATGGGTGAACACGGTTCTATACAGATTAGGAATGATGATTTACTAATCTGATAGATGGATGACGATGATCTGGAATGCCCTATTTTGTAATCAGGATATAATGCTGACAATCGGTCGGTTTGTTAAAAATGGGCGAGGCCCGACCCAAAGAATATTCGTATACTTGACATGCATAAATAAAGAAATAAATGCATATTTATCAGTCTAGACACGCATATCAACCGGCAAATAGATTATTAAATGTATATCTATCAGATATATGGACAGATATGCCTTTATTTCTGCATCTGTATTTATGAAAATTCATTGAGTCGGGCCTGGCACAATTTTAATAAACCGGCAGTATATCTTTACCTATATCGGGCTGTGTCGCGGCGCGGTAGTCCCCATTTGAAAGTTACATTAGTTATTAGGTTGGGTTGGTTGGGTTGGGTTGGTTTGGGTTGGGTTGGGTTGGGTTGGGGGTTGGTTGGTTGGGTTGGTTGGGTTGGGTTGGGTTGGGTTGGGTTGGGCGGGTTAGGTTGGTTTGGTTTGGTTTGGTTTTTAGGTTGGTTTTAGGTTAGGTTTTGGTTTTGGTTAGTTGGTTAGGTTTGGTTGGTTTGGTTTGGTTTGGTTTGGTTTGGTTGGTTAGGTTAGGTTAGGTTAGGTTAGGTTAGGTTGGGGGTTAGGGTTAGGTTTAGGTTTTAGGTTAGGTTTAGGTTGGTTAGGTTAGGTTAGGTTAGGGTTAGGTTAGTTGGTTAGGTTAGTTGGGTTAGGTTAGGTTAGGTTGGTTTGGTTAGGTTAGGTTAGGTTAGGTTAGGTTAGGTTTAGGTTAGGTTAGGTTGGGTTAGGTTAGGTTTGGTTCGGTTAGGTTGGGTTAGGTTAGGTTAGGTTTTGGTTTCGGTTAGGTTAGGTTAGGTTTGGTTAGGTTAGGTTTAGGGTTAGGTTAGGTTTGGGTTAGGTTAGTTAGGTTAGGTTAGGTTAGTTAGGGTTAGGTTAGGTTAGGTTAGGTTAGGTTAGGTTAGTTAGGTTAGTTAGGTTAGGTTAGGTTAGGTTAGGTTAGGTTAGGTTAGGTTAGGTTAGGTTAGGTTAGGTTGGATTGGTTAGGTTAGGTTAGGTTAGGATTGTTAGGTTAGTTTGGTTCTTAGGTTAGGTTGGGTTAGGTTA